TTCCAAGAGAAGCCAAATGTTGAGAAAACTCGGTTAATTACTTAACAAGAGGTGTGTGGTGTTTTGGAGTTCTTGGAAAATCCTGAAGCGTGTCCTAAAATTTTTGGCGAAAGATTGTAAACACTAACAAGTCAACGAGACCGCAAGTTATATGCGACAATGCTAATTTTTTTTGCGACGTATCATATGCACGACGGATGTTTCTGCAGTTTTGGGACTTGTGTATTGATGTATTTTGCTCTAGGTTTCCTGATAGCTCTGATGGGATTCTGAATACTTTCGCTCTGAAAAGATCGAAGTGTTGCTATGGCTACACTCCCGAAAACTAAATGATGATCTTCTAACAACAATCGATCAAAATGAACTTGAAAAAAATCGGCAATATTTGATTTTTGTTGATTTTCGGGATGGAACTTGAAAAAACATATACTTTGAATGTGTTGTCAGCAATTTGTCAGGCATGGGATGGTCGTGTTAAACCAGCGTTAGCTGTAGCAACGGTTCCATAGAAAAAGTGAAACTTTGATGTTAGCTTTTTTTATTCTTGTTTTTAATTTCAAGCTTGCTTTCAAACTTGCTTTAAAATGCATATTACAAAAAAAATATATTTTGCCAGCAAAATTTGATCTTTAGTGTCTCTAACGTACTGCAGGATGAGTTTTTTTGCCCAAAATTTCTAAGAATCACAAGCAAGTTTATATTTGTTTTTATATGCTATGATAAACATAAATTTGTGAAAAACAAGGCCTCTTTTCTTATCTCCCAAAAATTTGAAAGTAATTTTCTTTGCTACAAACAACTGTGTTTTTTTGGTAAATAACTCTGTGTGAAAGTGTTAACATTAATTTAGATGCGCAGTATCACCAACTGCAGTTTATCTGCGTGGTAACTGCTAGTTACACTCTGTATTTTTTATGACCAACACTCTTTAGTTAGTGTGATTCGGATTGAACACAAAATTTCAAATCAATATTTGCTCATTTTTTGTTGATACGAGTTCATCTCCTGCTGTGACGGCAAGCATGCGGCATTTGTGCGAACTGTATCTTGCGCATCTCCAGTGCTCAGTAGTTTTTGTCGTTTGCTTTTTTGTGAAATCGTGTCCGTCAATAAATAGCGTTCGTTTATTTCGTTGAGATATTCCCCACGTAAGTTGACTCATAGTATTTGTGTTGGATGTGTAGAACAAAATGGTAAACAATGAAGCAAAATGAGAGAATAGTCGTGTTTCATTTTGATTCAAAGGCGCTAATTGTGGATTATTGTCAAATTTTGGCGTGTAATTACCAAAAATTATGGTTTTTTTTAGGCTCAGCTTCAATAATTTTCGATTAGAGTCTTTTGTTATCTCAAAACGAGTCCAGTGTACATTAGCACTTGCTGGCCCTCAATTTGAACATCAAAGAATCAAGTAAAAGTGTTAAGTGTGGCACAAAACGGCATAGGACAAAATGTCATGTGGGGCAAGTTGGCATAGGACAAGTTGCCATGTAGGGCAAGTTAGTATAGGACAAAATGGCATAGGGCCAATTGACTTGGGGCAAATAGTCCTGACACCATAGCAACAAGCACTAACGAATTTACATGGAGGTGGAACAAGCCAATCGCGAAAGCGTGGTCTTATCATTTTTGATTGTCATTCAGTCTAATACATATCAGAAAAACGAGCACTGCTCAACTAGTCAGATATGCAAAAATATTAGAGGCTCACCGCTTTGATCGCAGTCTCGGAGATATAATGGCAAATATTCTGCCCTTCGGAGATTTTTTTTTAGTATTTGCAGGCGACTTCAAAGAATTTCTATCCAATTAAGTGTTATTGATACAAGTTGAAAGTTGTCACAGTGGCATCAGACAGATGATTTAACTATGTCAACAGCCCGGAAGTCAATAATAATCCGTTTGAAAAAATTGTTCAATTGTTCAATGGTGTACCTTTAAGGTTTCTTTACCTTTTCTTTTTTCACAAGAAACTGCAATGGAAGTAAAATGCAGATTGTTGATTATGAACTCACTTTGCGATAATGTGACAACGACATGCTCACAAAAGTTTCGTGGCAAAGAAATTGTTTGCTACAGTGCGAATTCGCTGTACGATACAGATGACAATCGTAGATACCCTACTGAGTATTCGAATGCTTTATAGCAGCTAGGTGTTCCAGCTCATAGCCTGATACTGAAAATAGGCATGTCAGATATATTGTTGCGCAATATTAACGCAAGTGCCCGCTTGTGCAACGGTGTCTGTTTAGTTAAACAGAATTTACAAGTCGGGCTGTGCGAGTGCAATTTCCAGACTCAAGAGACACAGAAACTATAGTTGTTCCTGGATTAAACCTCATTTTGGATGAAACACAAGAGGATGTTCATTATAAATGGTGTAGAAGGCAGTTCCCATTAAAACCGACTTTTGCCCTGACGATAATTAAATCTCGAGATGAAACTTTGGAGCGAGTCGCAATTTGGTTCTTCGGGTAGCTTCCGGTTTTCAATCATGGACAATTATACACTGCAGCTTCTCAAATTGATGATCCAGATAATTTTTTTTTTTTCATTAACTCTGATCCAAATGAGTGGACTTGATAAAAATATGAAAGGTTGCTTATCTTGAAGCTCTTCGATAGTTTGATACAAAACTGACATGGATAAAAAGTTATTCGTTTGCATAGTCCTAGTTCGATCTGTGTTGTTCGTTTTGTACAATTTTTCAAGGCTTTGTTGATAGTGAATGTAGTTTTTTTCAAAGGCCCTAAATGAGCAAGTGTTTCGGGTTTCGTTTTTTTGCTAATTTTTTTTTGCTAATTTTTCGCTAAATTAGGTATATCAGTCAACTGGGAATATAAAAATATACAAGAAACCTACGCTCCAATTTTTTTAATTGAAAAAATTCTTTTTAACTATTTTTAAAAGCTAATTTTGCAGTGTTTAGTTTTTTTGAAGCTCGCTCAAATTTTAGTCCTTTACATCTACACTTCATTAGATACTGTATGTTGTACGTTTCTAAATCAAACGAGTTTGCTAGTATCCATTAAAGCAAAAAATCTCAAGTAAAGCAATTATAGTCGATTAATTTTCACTTCTTTAAACAATGAAGGTCAAAAGTTATCAATTTTAATCAGTTGAACCCTAGTGCGGGAACCTTCTTGCGCTTTTTCTTCGTTGTTCGAATGAAGAGGATATAGCAACTTATGGGTTCGAACAACAAAATTGTTGTCCCGACTTTCGAAAAAAGTGAGAAATATATGCTTGGGGTGATTATTTTTTATTTATTTCGATTTCTAAGAAAATTTTCTCACTTGAGGGATTGACCTCTGGGTCTTCATAGTCCTCGCCGTGCGCGCATACCACTATTTCAACCTCGCGGAAACCACTATATCAGGTGCCTTCAAACAAGTCTGTATAAACTGCTCGTTTTCATTTTCAATGCGGAAAGTATAGTTGAGTTTTTACGCTATTTTCCCGCACTACAGATTCTTTCCAATTTGAATTGAGGCAAACAATCGGACATTTTAATTCTCAATCTGACTCAAATGTTAACACTCAAAATTTGATTTTGTCAGCCTAAAACTCAAAATTTGTCAATCTTTCTCGTATCAAAAACGATTGACGCCCATTCGAAACGTTAAGGATTTTGCCCTGACACTAGCAATCTTGTTTTAGTAAAGACAGTTGATGCATTTTTTATTTCATCAAACAAACCAAATCAAGCAATTGGTTTTGAACAATAGTATAATGGTGAAAACACAATTTCAAAAATTTTCTAACTCGTTCATTGCAATAATGTCAAAATAAGATTACACTAAATTGTTTAGGTTACATGGTTTCCAATTTATTACAGTGGATGCCTTCATTTCATTGCATCGAAAATTATTACAAGCAAATTTGTGTCTATTTGTATTTGGTGCTAATGTGTTAGGATGTATGGCTGTTTTTTTTGGCTGTTTTACTGAATATTCAAAGCGCACGGCGCATATGCATGGACAGGGAACTCTACGTCTCGTGGTCCTGGCGTAGGATTGAATCCGCCCCAGAAAAATTATTTCTAGGTTCAATTTTACTCTTTTTTCTTATTTCATTTTAAAGAGCTGCTTTTCTTTCGTTTTCTTGCAAATGTTTGCAAAGCACAGCTATGCCTTTGTGTTGAGTTTCCTCTTTTTAGATTTTTGTTGAGTTTGAATTTCATAGAGTTGAAACCGAATGTTCGGCATAAGAGATTTGAATTGCCAAAGGTAAAGTTACCATTTGGAAAAAAGTAAGTTTTTTTTTCGCATATGTGACAAATTTAACTAACCTTATGATAGCTTTACTCAATTGTGTTCGTTATAAGGTTATTACTAAAAATTTTGAGACCGGGTTTCTCGGCGTTTGAACACTTTTTAAAAACTTTTTTATTGTTATTCGAATCACCTCTGAAAAAGATTTAAAATGATATATCACTTGACCCATTGCGATGGTTATTTGTTCTACCTGATTTTGCGTGAAAAAATGGAAAAATGGTAAAAGCACACCCGAATGCTAAGTTTTCCCCCATTTTCAAGATTCAGAACAATAAAAGACAAAAATATATTTTTAATTTCAATGTGCTTGCTTGTCATAAAAATGAGAAATATGAGTGCGGTTGAATATTATAATAAGTAAGTATTAAATTCGTTTTCAAGAAGAGAACAGGTTCGATTATTATTATACACAACTCATAACATTAATCTAAATTCCATCTAGAAAGAAAACCAAAAAGACAATTAGCTGCCTATCGAGTGATGTTTTCATGAGCAACAACAAAAATTTAGAGTTGCATTTCTGATTACCAAAAAAATCCTCAACAAATACTCGTTATCACAGATGTGTAGATCCTTTTTATGTGGTACTTGATTTTGCGTGGAAAAAACTAAAAAAACTGAATAAAAGTTCCTATCCAGTTCAAAAGGTCGGAACAATAATGTCGCAATCTTTTTTTTCTGCTCCTTATCCACAAAACTTTTTTCCATCGTTAGAAAACTAACCTTAAATGGAGAGACGAGGCACCTCAGCAGACAAAGTGCCCTGACTTGGTCTCGAAATCCGTCGTTTTGTGCCTTTGTGTGGGTGTTGAAAGCGGCGTCGAAGTCCACTCCTCGCAGCTCGTCACGCGTCACCCCAAGGTCCTCTGATAGCATGGCCACGCACAGGTTTCGGAATTCTGTTCGGTTTAGCATCGGCTCGCCGGCCTTTTGAAATTCAGTAATGTCAATTTTGATATTTTTCAGAATTGTTCATTTAATTAAAGAGAAACAAATCACAAAATTGATCTGAAATATCTTATTGATCTTTAAAAAACCCGTAGTTCAGTTTTTCTTCTAATTGTTTTCGCTCTTCCTTTTCTAGTCTAGAGCTTAAAAGCCTAATTTTAAATTAATTTGCAGAAGTAATATATAAGGAAAAAAGTCGTTTAAAACCTACATGGTTTCGGAGAAAAACTTTTTTTCTGAATTTCTAATTATACGCGTTCAACTCAAATGGACATCACTCGCCTTTCGCACGTAGGGTTCAAATCTCAGCTCGATCGACCGGGCAATTTTGGCCAGTTTCGGACCCATATTTGTAAACCAAAGTAGTTGCTGTCCATCCCAGGCCAGTTTTTTCTCAGCTCCAATTGCGTCTTTGAGGGAAATTGTCAACGAGTTAATAAACTTCATTTCTTCTTGGTCTCCAAAAGTTAATTAGCAGTTTTAATACTTTTTCTCTTGTTGAAACTTCTTCTTTTGATTCCTGAATCACAACTGCTGAAAAATAAAAATTATATTCACAACTGCTGAAAAAAGTTTATAATAAGTCACAACTGCTGAAAAAATATTTAAATTGTTCGAAAAAACAGTCAGGTCAAATAAATGGTGTAAAAAGAATTATCAAATTGAACAGTTTGTTGCTTTTTTGACGACTGTTTTGTTTCAATTACGGATGAGATACGCTTTGTGATTCATGGTAACGAAACTGTTATAGAAACAAAAGCGATAAGCACCTGGAAAGTTAGAGAAAGCACATTACGCCCCCTAAAAGCAATAAACTAATGTGAATTAAAGAGTGAATGAAAATATACGATTTGTATTTCAATAAAATCTGGTGGCTATGAAGACTGAAATTAGACGTCTTTTTAGCAAGTTTTTTCAATAAAGGTTTGGTGGAGCTCAAATATTAGTTGTTTTATTCATGAAATCTTTATGTAGCCAGCAACCAGGTGTTGTTTTGAGAATGGAATGGAAACTTTTCGGAAATGGAAAAAAGCGTATATTTTGGCTTCAACTTCTCGCGACGAGGAAAAATTCCTTTCATGCTTTTTTGAGTTGCTTTGTTGGTGCGTGCGAAATTGCAAACAAAAGTAAAAAACAACTGACATTATGATTGAATGTGAAGCTCTTAAAAATTGTGGAAAGCCTACCTTGTTTTGGCTAAAATAAATTATAAATCTAGCAAAATCTGAAGGCGATAGCAAAATTAACATTTGGTAATTGAAATTTTTTTTTCTCAAAGTAAAGAAAAAGAAAGCAAATATAGCTTTTCTTGCGTTGTAAAAAAGGAAGGTTGTATTCAGTTCATTTTAATCGTCAAATCGGATAATTATATTTCAAAAAATGTAATATACGTCACTTCAAATTAATATTATGACAAAATGTCGTCATTAAAAAATTTCACGGAAGCATACGATCTTAAAAAAAAAACAAATATAATCCATAGGATACCCCATGAAAAAATAAATATCAATATTTTTTGTAGCCTAGCGTATACTACATTAATAAACTTTGCTTTGTGTCGTTTTATTTGCTCCGCCCATTTTAATGATCCAAATTACATACCCATAAAACTGTTTGCAGTATCCCAACGCTATTTCAACTAAATCAGCCAATGAAAAACCGATCAAAGTGTTGTTCTTTTTAAAAAACTTTCATTGATGATATCTGCAAAGTTGGGTGAAATTTGTAGGCATTTTTGTGCTTCTTTGAACAATTGTTCAAGTAATTCATCGAGTATAAATTGTGCCTCGCTCTGATTTCCGATACCCTCCACAACGATTACGTTTTGCGTTCAACAAACTGGTACTTCTTCTAAATTGAAACTAGAATCTTTTATCGAATAGGAACCCGAGTTGATGTTCATACAAGAAAATTTCCTTTCGTACAATTCCATGGATTCTTTGGAAAAAATGCTTATCATACAATTTTCACAGATGAAAATTGTATGACAAAAATTTTTCATTAGATTTTTTTGTACATTATCTTAGAATGGTTTGAAACTCAAGCAAAACAAAGTGGTTACATGAGTGCTGGTTACATGAGTGCAACTTTGGCATCAAAAAAATGTTTGAACAACAAATGCTTGTCATACAATTTCAAATATCAAAATTGTATGATTTGCGTTTTTCCATAGAAAAATAAGACTTTGATGTTAACTTTTTCTTATCCTGTTTTTGATTTTAAGCTTGCTTTCAAACTTGCTTTAAAATGCATTCTACAAAAAATATATTTTGCCAGTAAAATTTGATCTTTAGTATCTATAACGTACTGCAGGATGAGTTCTTTTCCCAAAATTTCTAAAAATCACAAGCAAGTTTGTTTTTGCTTTTATATGCTAAGATAAACATAAATTTGTGAAAAACAAGGCCTCTTTTCTTATCTCCCAAAAGTTTGAAAGTAAGTTTTTTTTAGCTACAAACAGTTGTGTTTTTGGTAAATAATTCAGTGTAAAAATGTTTACATTAACTTAGATGCGCAGTATCACCAACTGCAGTTTATCTGCAAGGTAACTGCTAGTTACACTCTGTATTTTTTATGACCAACACTCTTTGGTTAGTGTGATTCAGATTGAACACAAAATTTCAAATCAATATTTTTTGTATGTTGATTTAAGGAAAAAAGCTTATCATACAATTTGATAGTGTGGAAAAAATTGTTTATTTTACATTTTTATTGTGCAAAAATTAGCCTTGCAGTTTTATGACCTTTTTGTGATAAAAACTATTGCAAAAATTTTGTTATTTAATTCCAGTATATGGCAAAAATGCTTATTATATTTTTTTTGGAAAAAATAATTGTTTCGCCATTTTTACTCAAATTTTTCAGTCCATAAATTTACTGAAACATTTTGACAAGCATTTTTTTATCATGATACGAAATTGTAAGGCAGGCATATTTTGTCAAACAATTTTTTGTCAAACTATTTGATAAACACTTTTTTTTATCATACTGTGAAATTGTAAAAGAGGCATTTTTCGTCAGCCCATTTTCAGCAAGTAGGAATTTAATACGGTTCTTGGCGGTTTTGTTTGGCTGACTTTTTCCTATTGTATAGGTAGTGCAGTTTTCCACTAAATTTTACCGAAATTAAAATCTTGTTTCAGAATGTTTTTGCAGTTAGGTAACTCTGAAAAGTTTCAGAAGAAATTCAATTTAGTTTTCATTGGAAGGCAAGGGCAAAATTTCTGAAACAGTTTTGCTAAATGTCAGAATAATTAGATGCTAAGGTAATGCCAAAACGCTGAGTGAGGGGATTTTTTACGCTAATTAAAATATATATTATTTTGACCATTTCACGATATGGGAAGGAGCTATATCGCTTTGAAAAATTAGGCGAAAAGTTATTTGAAAAATAAAATCAAATGTGCGTTAACCAGTCAAATTTGGATCTTTTAGATGACCAGAGTGACCGTTTTGTGACTGGGTGGTTCACTCTCCCCTAAATTTGCTTTTGTTTGCTGATATTTTTGCCCAAAATAACTTTGGGACTCTGTGTAAGATTGGAATTTGTAAGGTTTAGGCAATAACTACGGATGGTTTTCTACAGGTGCTCTTAAATTGAGAGTTATTTATATTCTGTCAATCCCGCCTAGGTAGGTTAAAATTAACCATCCAAAAAAGGCTTCGAACTGAAACAATGTGCTGATGTTTTGGTGGTACAAAAAAACTTAAATGTGCATCAATAAATTTATCAAGAAAAATTGAAAAAAAAAAATGAGATAAATTTAAATTAACTTGCAAAATTAATTTTCTCATTTTTTACATAAAATAACGTCAACTAAAAGCATGAAATATTGGCAATTCAGATGGAAGATCAAAAACCAAATGGGTAAACAAAAAAATTACAACCGATTACAATTTGCAAATCAAATGAATCAGAAATTGGGATAAAAATAATCGATTATACCTAATTACAATCTTTTATAATTGTATCAAAAACAGTTGAAGTAGTAATTGATTGTGATCGATTAAAATGTTTTTTATTTGAATATACTTTGATTGTGAAAAGTGATTATACTCGATTATGATTTGAATAAAATCATTTGTTTCTCATTTAAGTAAGACTGGTTCTGAAATACATAGATCTCTAGAAAAAATTATCATAATTTGCAAGTTGAGTAGGAAATTTCCATTATAATAACTTGGAGTCTAAATTTTGTAAAATTTGTTAAGCCATTCAAATATCTCGCAAAACGTATGAACCAGAAAGTTTTTGATTTGGTGATTGATTTAATGATCAAATAAAGCAATTTGATTGCTTCAAACAGTTTTTATGATTTACATATTTTCAATTGGGTTAATTTATCAAAACTAGAATAATCAGATTTACTAAATTTGTTTATTTTTGTAATTGCAAACGGTAAAAAAAGAGTTTTCACGAATGATTTGCTTACAAAAACTAAAAAAATTTGTTTGAAATTATACTGAAGCATGTTCGTGAAGGTTTGTTTTTCTTATCATAAAATGTTTTTTATGAGAAATTTGGTTATTAAAAGGACTCGTCTATCATAGTAGCATCCGTATTTTTTATTAAAATTAGAGTGCTATTTATTGATCACAACTCTGACTTTATATGATACATCAGCAAGTTTAGGCTGTAAACCCCAAAACTGTCTGTTGTAGATCATATGTTTCACCAATGAAAACTAAAGAAAAAATGTACTTATCGAAATCTTTGTTTTGCTATGAAACACTTAATTTCCAGTCGGATTTTTTACCGGAAATTTGTGATGTGAAATTTCTAAGCAAAGCTTAGATTTTCTTAGATTAATTGATTAGAGGATTCAAACCACCGCTCTTACGATTTCTAGAAAATGCATTATTCGCTAATTGCATCAACCCCAGAATTAAGAATTAACAAAATAGTCAAAGCTACGTTTTGCAAATTAAAGCTGGTTACCTTAAAATGTATAGCCAATTGCAAATCATTTGAGTTTATCTACAAACTATTTTTTTTCTAAATTTAGACTATAAATAGATACAATTGCTGAATAGACAATTCAAAAGACTAAAATAGGTTATTTATAGAATTTGCATCCCTTTGAGGGCAGATGAATGCATTCACAAATCAAGCAATAATTTCATTTTTCTGCAAATAGCACTTTTTTTGAATTACGGTAGATGTAAACATCAGGTCTCCAGTAAAGTCTTGTGCAATAAAAAGAAATAACAAGCAGTAAAAATTTTTGAATAAACTTGTATTTTCTAAAATTGAAACGATACAGTGCTGATTTTAATTATTCGAAAAAAATTAACAAAACATTACGACTCCAAGTTGTGCATTTGTGAATTGTAGGCCGATTTCGCGAAAAGGATTGTTCTTCTTTTTTTATTTCATTCTCTTTGATCGTTCCGAGAAAAATTTAACAAGTTCAAATGCTTGTCTCTGGAATCCAGGAATATACAGACACAAAATTGCGAGCCTATTCAGTGCAACGCTTGGCCTCGTAATGAACTAAGTAAAAAAATGAAAACAAAGATATCTTAAAATTTCAACTATTAATGTCAAGCAATTTCTTTGCCAATTTTGGCCCTCTAACTTGCGCAAATTTGATCAGTTTGGCTGTTTGTAGAAAAGGAAAAATTACCCCAGAACTACCGCGTCGATTGCAATTAAAATTTTAGAAACTGTAACCAAACAAAGTTTATGAAGAATGTAGTTGAATATTGTTTGTCCATTTTTGAACGTTTGCTCAATTTCTTAGAAATTATATACTTCTTTAAACTCATACGGCTATTTAAAAGGCTCACCTTGACATATTTTTATTAGCAATTAATCAAACAGTACTATATTTTTTCATTTTCTACAAAAAGCCAAAAATGATCGGTTTTGGCTTAAGTTATAATTTCAAATTTCGCTAATAAAATTGCACTACCTTAGTTCCGCTGAAAATCTAAACAAATTTTGTTTCTATCATTTTGTGTCTAGAGTTACCTCGATTTGAAAAAAAAATCGATTTAAGTTTCAAAAATTTCTCGGTTTGTTGGGTTAATTGTTATCAGCACTGTAATAACATGAGGTCATTGAAGCTAAGACACTAAACTGATGAGCTGATTGTCTAAATATCTCAATACAATTAAACAAAATGTTTGATACTGAATTCTGGCATATAGATCATGTTGCTAGTTCTTAAATGACTCTACGATCGATCTCCCTACGAGTGTTCGTTGAAGTACATGAGTGTTAACCTTAGGCCATGCTTGCATGCCAAATCCTAGAAAAAAAAGATAATCAAACGGCTAAAATTAGTTCAATTATTTATTGGAGTAGCTAGTCCGAAGTCATGTCGAGTAACCGCATTTATGAGCCTAAGGACAGTATAGCAACAATTCGTTGCCTATGATTGAGAACTTCAATTTGCAGCTATTTTTGGAGCTCTTTATTGTAGCCGACCCATTGAGATGCAAGCGCAGCTAGACACACTGCGGTAAACTTTGATTAAATGTTTTGGCAAAGTAAAAGAACATGAACAGTCTCAACCATGAAAATCAAAAATAACAAGTGAAATATCTTTTCAAATTTGAGCTCAGGACAACAATACCTTTCAAATTATATTAAAAAATTCCGTCAGAAATGGCTAGTTAAAAAGTTGAAATTTGTCTGAAGAAAAAAGTCCCACCACGAGCACAAATATTCCGTTACTTTCGTATCGAAAGTCGGAACAGCAATTGAATACTACAAGATTGGAATAAAACGAGGTTCAAACCCAAACAAGACTGCTCGTATCAGGGCAAAGCCCTGAATGTTCCGACTGCCTTTTCAGGTTTATCGAGCAGTACTAACATAACAAAATTAAATATAATTTTTAAAAAATGAAAAAAAAATTTTCTCTAAAATTTGAAATTTGTTTATGAAATCAATCATCCACCCACACGCCATAAAAAGTTTAAAAGAATAGATTTTGCTCCTTGTAACAAACCAATTATGGCGAATAAGCTTCTTTTATCCAATTTAGAACGATTTCTAAGACGGATTAACTCTCCGCTTACGCGTTAATAGCGCGAAATATATTGCGCGTTAATTGTCCCAAATTGGCCAAAATGGCATTATTTAAACCCCCATAACTTTACGAAAAATGATCACAGGTGAAATATCTTTTCAAACTTAAGCTCAGGACAACAATACCTTTGAATGATATTGAAAAATTCTGTCAAAAATGGCTAGTTAAAAAGTCGAAATTTGTCTGAAGAAAAAAACCCACCCCGAGCACAAATATTCCGTCACTTTCGTATCGAAAGTCGGAACAATAACCGCGATTTGACCAAATGTTGCATAGCGAATGTGTAATTTCATTGTTTATTACAGCCAAAAAAATCGTCTGTGAAACCATAGTGGATAATATTTCCACCAGTTCAATGTGACTTTTGATGTGCCACCGGTTTTTAAAAGTGCAGCTTGTGTCTAATTTGCGAAAATCAGCTAAATATCTGATGTTCAAAGTATGTTCGCATCCAGAGGAGGATCTAGGATTTTATCGAGGGGGGGGGCGGTTGGCCAAAAATTGATTTCTTAAAAAGTACTAAAGGGGGTACCCTTTTGGTTGGCAGGGGGTCGAATCCCTGAGGGGCGAATCCCTGGGCAGGGGGCCGAATCCCTGGGAAAATTAATTATTGAAAAACTATAAATTTCGGACAAAATCAAAGATGAAGTGTAAAAATTTGAGTCGTACGAAATTGATACGACCAATTAGCTAGCCTCAATTCAATTTGGAAAGATTTTGTTGTGCGGAATAGTTCGCAATGCATAAATAGATTGTGTTACGCTTTCAAGATTATGAAAAAAAAATCTTCAAAGCGCGTATAAAATAGTTCAAAGCATGGCCATATTGGAAATTTTCAAACTCCCAAAACTTTGCGATATTTTCAATAGAGCATAAAAGTTTTTTGTTAAAAACTTTTCATTTCGATCGCAGAAAGTTGACTGAATAAAAAAAAACCATATCGAGCAGAAATATCCCGTTTTCTTCGAAAGTAGGATGAATTATGTCGAGCAGAAAAAAATAGATCTACTTAAAACAGTTTCCAACAGCAAGTGGGGGTTGTCGGTTTCCTTAGTAAGGCAAGTCCCGCCATTCCTAAATCTGTCCATGTCTGCAGATATTCTTGCCCAATTTAACTGCTATATCTTTTGTAAGATTACGATTCTGAAGTCATCTGCTTCCAGTTCTTTTAGTGATTTTTTTTGGTGATTGGAGTGAGGATATTTGAGGAATTTCTTGCAGCAGTGTGTTTTTAAAAGGTTATTGATGACAATCAAGAGCAATTGATAATAACAAGACTGATCGTAAATCAGGGCAGAGCCCTGAATGTTCCGATTGCACTTCAGGCCAATTAAAACGTTTTTTTTGTTGTTGAATAACTGACAAAATCACTGAGAACTTTTTTTCTTCAATTTATTCCCCAACACACTATGTAAAATACTACGGGTGTGTTAAGCGTCTCTTATTGTGATAAAAGGAATAAAATTGTGACCTCAGTTCAAGTTGGAACGCATTAATTTGCTTCTTACGCGTGTTATAGGTATGCAATATATTGCACTTTAATTGTCCCAAAGTGACACATTTAGCAAATTTCAAACGCTCATATTTTTATGAAAAAACTTTAATGGCTCTTGAAACAATGGCTCTTGATTGATGCTTAATTCAAACAGACTAATGCTACAAAAATTTTGATATTTGTTCCGATATTTTGTAAAGAAAGTAACGGAATAGCAAACTGGGCCGCGATAGTCTGGATAATGGGGAGCGTCGCAAAAATCTTGGCATAGAGTCACGAAAGGCGCAAATTTAGTCTCAAAGACTGGAAACAAAGTCTCAAAAGAAGCCCAGAAGTTTTAAAAAAATGTCGAAAATATGTTTTAATTTTCGTGACTTTAGGACTACACTTTTGCAACTTAATGACCCGTTTTTTTGCAAATTTTTTTCCAAGTTGGCTTCGATGTTCCGGTCGATACTATGCAATTTGAATCTCGAGCTGAGATTTAGTGCGACTGTCAAAGTTGAACATACGTCGTGGACGTCAACTCGGGAGAAACTTACCTGCTAATAGAACTGATAGCTAAATTTTCATCGGATGGTTGTTTTTTAATCAAAAGATTCTACCATTGATTAAAAATGCAATTGGAGATAAAATATGCGTAAAAAATTGATACTGTCTTATCACATCAATCAAAGATACAAGCAAATGTCTGACAGCGGATTTCTGACAGATGCAAAATTTCAACTTCACCCTCAAAAACTATCTAGTAAAGAAATTTTCAGTGTGTTCTACCAATCTATCAATCTTTTGAACTGGATAATTTGGTTGTGGAGGCTTTATACTTCTGGTTATTTTGCGGTTCATTGGTTATGAAATTAGAATTTGTATAGACACTCGTTTTTTATTAATAATTTGAAGAAGGACAATTTATTGTCTATGTATGGAAATTTGGCATCATTTTGATTTTTTTACAATGAATTACTGAAAGTATATGAATATTCCTACTCGCAAAGGAAAGTTCAAAAAATTCAACATAGACCCTGAACACAAAAAAAAACGATCAAGTGTCTAAATAATGATATGATGTCTATCAGTTGAAAAAGATGATTAGTACATAAATTGATTTCTCTTCATTTTTCTGCTTCTTGAGAACGGAAATACAACCCTTTGTCAAGTTGTATGAGCGCAAATTGATATTATGTGGTGTTGTGTGGTATAATATTGATTCTGAACGTGGTATGCTAATATTGGCTTAATTGATTATGGTGCATTAGAAATTCATAAACGAGAGCTGAACGTACCCTAAACTGTTGGTTGTTTCCTTCCATCAAGCAGGAAACTTAGAAAATGCAGCACATGCTCACAAAATACTTAAATGAAAAAAGCACGAGACTTTTTTCAACAAAATGCAGAAAAGTTTGGTATAGTTCTCGACAAACCGGAAGAAATGTTAGCTGCAAGAATGACGCATGAATTCATTAAACATATATCCGTTCTGTAAAGAATGATACCAAACTCTCTTTTATTTTTTTCTGCGCTTTGTTGAAATGCATTGTATTTTGTTTTCGGCTAAGTTTAGTTTTTCACTGAACGGTTGGTCTGACAGGACTATGGAGTTCAGAGATAAAACACTATTCACGCTCTGACGGCAATCATCTTGACACAAGGTGGAGTCCCCATCAAGGGCGGATTAAGGGGGGCGGGGTCAGACACCCCCTTCCTCAGGAATCGACTCGCTGTCGACCCGCTGTCGACCCACAGGATCCCCCCTTTTCATGCTATTTTAGAACATCCAATTTTGGCTGACCGACAAAAAATGTTTCTGAAAGCGCATTTGGGTTCAGTATACACTAATCTAATTTTGAAGTGGAAAGTACGCCGAAAAAAAAGACGAATTGAATCCGCACAGCTCAAGTGCACTCAGTGCTTACTGGCATTCAATTCAATAATTCAGTGCTGATGGTTGAATAACAAGCAGTGGAAAAAAGTTGTTAAAAATCAAAGGTCTGCCGGTAATTTTGGCGCCGATTTATACTAATTTTGCACTGGAGCGTTCAGAAAAAATCAGTGCCTCAAAACGCGTTTATTGGCGTGTTTTTTTCCAAAAAATTGCCTAAGATGCGGAAGACTCGGTTAAAATGGGGTCTTTATAATAATTTAGGAGAGCTCAGAAAAGCAATTTGGCCAAGTCGGTCGAAGCATAGCTTTTTTTGATTGAGTCGGTTGAAGCACAGCCCTTTTTGATCGAGTTGGTCGAAAAAGGGCTAATTTCAATCAAGTAATTCAAAAAATGTTATTGCTCAAAACATGACTATTTATAGTCAATTCGGTCGAGAAATGTTTTATCGAGTCGGTCGAAACATCGCCATTTCTATCAATTCGGTCGAAATATTGAAACTTTTGATCGATTTGGTCGGAACCTAGCAATTTTTGATCGAGTCAGTCGCAACAAAGCCTTTTTGATTGAGTCGGTCGAAAATTAGCCATTTTTGATCGAGTTGGTCAAAAAATGGCATATTAGGATCAAGTAATTTAAAAAGTGTGATGGGTCAAAGCATGGCTATTTTAGTCAATTCTGTCGAAATATAACGAGTTTTAATCGAGTCGATTGAAACACGGCTGTTTTTCATCCAGTTTGTCGAAACATGGCTTATTTTGATCAAGCCATTCAAACTATAACTATTTTTGATCGAGTCGGTCGAAACATAGCCTTTTTAGTCAATTCGGTCAAAACAGCCGTTTTTGATTGAGTCGGTCGAAATATAATAATTTTTGATAGTTTCAGTAGAAACAAATCTAATTTTATCAATTCGGACGAAATATTGAAATTTTTGATCGACTCGGTCGAAACGAGCCATTTTGATCGGGTCATTTGCAACATAGCAACTTCTGATCTAGTCAGTCGAAACACGGCTGTTTTAATCCAGTCGGTCGAAACATTGCGTATTTTAGTCAAGCCAGTCAAAATATGGCTGTTTTTGATCGAGTGGGTAGAAATAAAGCCTTTTCAGTCAATTCGGTTGAAACAAAACCACTTTCGATCAATTCGGTAGAAGCAAAGTCAATTTTATCAATTCGGACAAAATTTTGAAATTTATGATCGAGTTGGTCGAAACACGGCTGTTTTTAATCCAGTCTGTCGAAACATGGCGTATTTTGATCAAACCATTAAAAACATAATTTTTTTTGATCGAGTCGGTCAAAACATAGCCTTTTTAGTCAATTCGGTCGAAACACAGCCCTTTTTGATCGAGTCAGTCGAAATATATTCATTTTCGATAGTTTCAGTAGAAGCAAATCCAATTTTATCAATTCGGACGAAATATTGAAATTTTTGCTTGACTCGGTCGAAACGAGCCATTTTCGATCGAGTCATTTGCATCATAGCAATTTCTGATCTAGTCAGTCGAAAACACCGCTGTTTTTAATCCAGTCGGTCAAAACATGGCGTATTTTGATTAAGCCATTCAAAACATAACTATTTTTGATCGAGTCGGTCGAAACATAGCTTTTTTTAGTCAATTCGGTCGAAACAGCCGTTTTTGATCGAGTCGGTCGAAACATAATCATTTTTGATAGTTTCAGTAGAAGCAAATCTATTTTTATCAATTCGGACGAAATATTGAAATTTTTGATCGACTCGGTTGAAACGAGCCATTTTTGATCGAGTCATTTGCAACATAGCAATTTCTGATCTAGTCAGTCGAAACACGGCTGTTTTTAATCCAGTCGGTCGATAAAGAATGATACCAAACTCTCTTTTATTTTTTTCTGCGCTTTGTTGAAATGCATTGTATTTTGTTTTCGGCTAAGTTTAGTTTTTCACTGAACGGTTGGTCTGACAGGACTATGGAGTTCAGAGATAAAACACTATTCACGCTCTGACGGCAATCATCTTGACACAAGGTGGAGTCCCCATCAAGGGCGGATTAAGGGGGGCGGGGTCAGACACCCCCTTCCTCAGGAATCGACTCGCTGTCGACCCGCTGTCGACCCACAGGATCCCCCCTTTTCATGCTATTTTAGAACATCCAATTTTGGCTGACCGACAAAAAATGTTTCTGAAAGCGCATTTGGGTTCAGTATACACTAATCTAATTTTGAAGTGGAAAGTACGCCGAAAAAAAAGACGAATTGAATCCGCACAGCTCAAGTGCACTCAGTGCTTACTGGCATTCAATTCAATAATTCAGTGCTGATGGTTGAATAACAAGCAGTGGAAAAAAGTTGTTAAAAATCAAAGGTCTGCCGGTAATTTTGGCGCCGATTTATACTAATTTTGCACTGGAGCGTTCAGAAAAAATCAGTGCCTCAAAACGCGTTTATTGGCGTGTTTTTTTCCAAAAAATTGCCTAAGATGCGGAAGACTCGGTTAAAATGGGGTCTTTATAATAATTTAGGAGAGCTCAGAAAAGCAATTTGGCCAAGTCGGTCGAAGCATAGCTTTTTTTGATTGAGTCGGTTGAAGCACAGCCCTTTTTGATCGAGTTGGTCGAAAAAGGGCTAATTTCAATCAAGTAATTCAAAAAATGTTATTGCTCAAAACATGACTATTTATAGTCAATTCGGTCGAGAAATGTTTTATCGAGTCGGTCGAAACATCGCCATTTCTATCAATTCGGTCGAAATATTGAAACTTTTGATCGATTTGGTCGGAACCTAGCAATTTTTGATCGAGTCAGTCGCAACAAAGCCTTTTTGATTGAGTCGGTCGAAAATTAGCCATTTTTGATCGAGTTGGTCAAAAAATGGCATATTAGGATCAAGTAATTTAAAAAGTGTGATGGGTCAAAGCATGGCTATTTTAGTCAATTCTGTCGAAATATAACGAGTTTTAATCGAGTCGATCGAAACACGGCTGTTTTTCATCCAGTTTGTCGAAACATGGCTTATTTTGATCAAGCCATTCAAACTATAACTATTTTTGATCGAGTCGGTCGAAACATAGCCTTTTTAGTCAATTCGGTCAAAACAGCCGTTTTTTATTGAGTCGGTCGAAATATAATAATTTTTGATAGTTTCAGTAGAAACAAATCTAATTTTATCAATTCGGACGAAATATTGAAATTTTTGATCGACTCGGTCGAAACGAGCCATTTTGATCGGGTCATTTGCAACATAGCAACTTCTGATCTAGTCAGTCGAAACACGGCTGTTTTAATCCAGTCGGTCGAAACATTGCGTATTTTAGTCAAGCCAGTCAAAATATGGCTGTTTTTGATCGAGTGGGTAGAAATAAAGCCTTTTCAGTCAATTCGGTTGAAACAAAACCACTTTCGATCAATTCGGTAGAAGCAAAGTCAATTTTATCAATTCGGACAAAATTTTGAAATTTATGATCGAGTTGGTCGAAACACGGCTGTTTTTAATCCAGTCTGTCGAAACATGGCGTATTTTGATCAAACCATTAAAAACATAATTTTTTTTGATCGAGTCGGTCAAAACATAGCCTTTTTAGTCAATTCGGTCGAAACACAGCCCTTTTTGATCGAGTCAGTCGAAATATATTCATTTTCGATAGTTTCAGTAGAAGCAAATCCAATTTTATCAATTCGGACGAAATATTGAAATTTTTGCTTGACTCGGTCGAAACGAGCCATTTTCGATCGAGTCATTTGCATCATAGCAATTTCTGATCTAGTCAGTCGAAAACACCGCTGTTTTTAATCCAGTCGGTCAAAACATGGCGTATTTTGATTAAGCCATTCAAAACATAACTATTTTTGATCGAGTCGGTCGAAACATAGCTTTTTTTAGTCAATTCGGTCGAAACAGCCGTTTTTGATCGAGTCGGTCGAAACATAATCATTTTTGATAGTTTCAGTAGAAGCAAATCTATTTTTATCAATTCGGACGAAATATTGAAATTTTTGATCGACTCGGTCGAAACGAGCCATTTTGATCGGGTCATTTGCAACATAGCAACTTCTGATCTAGTCAGTCGAAACACGGC